CCCCGGATTTCTTATCAAATAAAAATGAGAAAACAAACCCAAAAATGTAGTTTGGCGCCTGTTGGAAATTGATTGAAGATAAGCGGGATCCAAGGGTCTATCTGGATATAGGGTTTTGGATATGGTTTTAGGGCAGTAGGGGAATCTATTGTAAAGCATTATATTTCTTGATAAAGAAACATATTAAAATTTATATAATCATATACATCGTTAAACACAATTAAAACGTGATTGTACGATCATATATTTGCCTATTCGGTTAAACATTCAATTTTAAAAACATCTCAAATATACATCAAGATATAGGCTGAGGCGCTGAGCCCTCCAAAGTCTCCCCCGTGCATCAACTGCTAAGTAGACATAGCATTATAGTGCTTCAGGGAATACCGTGCTGGGGCAGGATCTCTGACTTTTGGAGAAGCAAATGAAACTCTCCACCATGATTTTTTAGTTGTCTCCGGGTCAGAGTTTCCATTACGACCATTTTTTCGTTCATTATCATCTGCTTCAGTTTCAGTCATAGATTGGAATGACGTTCCGCCAAGAAGTGCAGGAACAGAGTAAGAAAACCCCTTTACTTGTTCAATCATACTCCCTACTTCTTTCAACTCCCCAAACCTTAGAACGGTTCCATCTACTGGGCTAACCTATATGACATACGGAGTAATAGGGAGTATAATATTTGCAGTTAGACAAAAATTGAGAAACTTTTCTTTAACACATAAACAGGTTACCAATTACCAGACAACATGGGTCGAAATCAATGGGTCTGGAACCCTCTTTAAGAGTACGGACAAAGAACTCCCTCAAAGATGAGTATTCTTCTAAAGGCAAAGCTGCTTCTTGTAAGTCTGATCTCAGGCAACAAATATTTCTATCACACAGAGTTCATCGCATCATAGCTTAGAAGTATAAGGGTATGTTTGTAAACCATAAAATGCTATAGAAATAAAATAAAAACACAGTAGAAATTTGTAGGGAAGAAAACAAAAATGGTTCAAACTTCACAATCAAATTTTATTTTCCTTGTATTATCAAGGTAAATCAAACATTACAAAACCATGCTCTTCAATCCTTTCCGTAAAATTTCAGGGTTACAAAGCAGCCTAAATTGCTCAGAACTTTACACTATGAGTATTTGACAAACAATAAGGAGAAGGGGAAATGGCGTACTTGAATGAAAAGCGCGAGCCCATGCTCTATATGCATATGGACGCATCCACACTGGAAACTCCTGTTTGAAGTTTGAACGAAATGCAGTGAATAATGAATGCCACCTTTTATACTAGCTCGGATACAACATTACTCACCACACTAGTCATGAACCCCCAGAACCTGGAAATGGAGCGCAAAGGTAGCAATCTCATAAATGATGCCTGTCATTAAACACACAGTACACTCAGAACTGGATAATATGAAAATAGAGAAAGAACTCTGTGCTCCAAAACTTCAAATCATCAGCCATGTATGTTCAGAGGGTTTAGAATTGATTACTTTCACATCAGGTTGGAATTCCATCTCGATTCCCTTCTGTCTTGCATCTTCAATCTACAATACAGATGCAGGAGATTTCACATGCAATGAAGGCCAGAACTTTGCAATATTCAAATTCACTCATCCAATAGTAATGTCTAGAAAGCAGAAATCTGGTTATGCGTAAAATTTCAGAGTTCAAAAAATAGGGGATAAAATTAAATATATACAGCGACGAGGTTCTGTTGATAGTGTCATCCAGTGTCAATGGATGACACTCGCCTATTTTGAGCACCTCTCTGTGGCTCCAAATGAAAATTGATTGTTCCTACATCTAACCCACTCCCTAAATCCCCACTGCATCCCCGCCCCGTTCCCACCCCCACACCCCCACCTAGACCTCTCTTTTAGCCCCTCCAAATGTGTGGCTATTCTGGGGTGGGTTAGGTGGGGTAAGAACCATCAATTTTGAGAATAGAGCACCGAAGGTGCTCGAAATAGGCGAGTGTCATCTGTTGACACTGTATGACACTGTCAACAACCTTGCCGTATATACAAATACCTTTTTATCATCATAGAGACGGCGAGCATGAAGAGCGCCTAGCATAGCAATGGTCGCCACAGTCGCACCAGGCAAGACGAAACCTCTACCTGCAAACCAATCGACATCAAAATCAGCTCTAAAAAGATAAAACACAGCCGATTCTCGCGGATTCCACACTGAAACGAAGAAATCGGAAGTTTTACCGCGAGAGCTGCTACCGGCACTTCCGCCATTGACGGAAGCTCGAGCTTGAGGGGATTGTGTCTTGCGAAGGAAGTTAATGAAGCGGAGACGCTGTTTGAAGAGATTATCGAGGCGGATTGGGCGATTGAACAGTGGAACTCCATTAGAAGGCCTGAACTTCATCTTCTTCTTCTTCTTCAATTCGCCTGCAGATTAATGGTGTGTGAAATTAAGAAATTCGACTATGGAGACATTCAAAAATAAATGGCGCAAAAAATGGTTTGGTGGCTTTTAAGTTATAGGGTTTGGCGTTGGTTGTGGACTTGTGGAAGAAGAAAATCAAGCTCGCCGGATGGGTAACTTTTTCAACAATCTTTCTTCTCTGTTTCTTTTTTTTTATATTTTTCTATTTTTTAAAATAAGGTTCGGATTTTTTTTCAAAAAAAGAAAAATAAAAAGAATTCGGGCATTAAAATTCGGGTTTGAATGAGAAAGAGCCAAAGAGGAGTAATATTAGGACCCTGACAATAGTTTTAATGGTTTAAAAACACTAATTTTAATGATTGGTTTTATTATTTCACCCCAGTTCTTATGACATTCCATCTCAATATCATGGAATGACTTAGGTACCCTATCATTCCTACGGTGTCTCGTTTGTAAAATCAACAGTCTTACACCTAACCCCACTCTGAACTCGCCTCCCAGTCTCTTCAATTACACCCCCAAAGTTAAACTATCAAACTAAAACACTAAAAAACAATCCAAAATAATAACATTATGTTTGGTTCAAAAATTAGGAAAGAAAGAAAAAGAAAATATTTTTTTCTCATTTCCTTGACCAAAATGAGAGGTATATTGTTTTCCTTCGAAAAGGGGAAAAATGACTTGTGAAAGTCAATTTCCCCATTTTCGGTGTTTGGTTGGGCAATGGAAAATTAGGAGTTTTTTTAAAATTTAAGCAAACTTAAAAAAATGAGAGCATCTTGATATCTCATATCCATTTTTTATCACCAATCTACAATTAAAGTCTAATTTATCTCCTATCAGTGATTGTTCGATAAGATCTGAGGGGATCCTCGAAGATGGAACTCATCCTTTTTTAGCCACTTGCCTCCAACTATCCTTTGTCTTTGGCCACCTGCCACCTACCCCCAATAACTTTTAAATTTCTTTGAACATTTTTATTTCTGGACATAAATACTCATAAGTTCTTTCATATTTCAAAATGCATAATTTAGCAAACATTCAAATTTCATATCGATGGGACTATAAATGGAACTATAAATTGTACCCCCTCTCTCTCTCTCTAAATGAAAGAAACATAAACATCTTTAAAAATGGGAAAAAAATGCTAAAACTAGAAGAAATTCTAAAAAAACTTTTAAAAAAAACTAAAAACGTTAAAAATTAAGAGAAACCTCACATTAAATTCCTATAGATGTGCTTCATCTTTTCTTTTTTTTTTTTAAAATCTCAAAACAGGGGGGATTTGACACTAAATTTGATCCTACTTATGAATCGAATCAAAATATCAAGTGCTTGGAATTTTACTTCAACTGTACCTATTATACTTCTACCCCAAAAAAACTATTTGGTACTTTTCTTTTTCATCTACCCATTTGGATTCAACGTTTATGAATCAAAACCAACTTCAGAGAAAGAAGTTTGCCTGCCCCAAAACTAAAGGTCACGGTCTCACAACGTAAATGCAGGGTGCCCCTAACCTATTACTCTTCTTGTATTAAAATTTAAAACACATTGTTTCCTGAAACTGCAACACCTGAAAGACCCCTTTTCAGAGTGGAAAAGGCCACAGCCATGAACACCATCATCACCACCACCTTCTTCAATGCCAAAGCCCTAAGGTTAACCCTGAGCCCGCGCTTTCTCATGAACTCTCTGGCATGCCGACACAGGGCACCAAGCAAAGACACAACCAACCGGAAAACCACTTTCAGCATTTCCGCGAGCCCGTACACCTCCCCTGCACCGCCCGGCACGGTCACGTACGAGGAACACGGGCTCTCGTGGGCCCCCTCGACCGTGTTCAGCCCGAGAGACTCGTTTATCCGACCCGATATCCTTACGAGCAGATTCGCAAGCCATGCGATTTCGTCGCCGCGTACGGGACGCTTTACGGGCACTGTTTGGTTTGTGTAACTTCTGGGCTTGAAAATCTCGTCCCGTGTGGCTTCCGAAACTGTTGTTGTCCCTGGCCTGCTGATGAGCTTCTCAGTGATAGGGGTAGTGCCACACAGGAGTCCTATTTGGGATTTTAGTGTGTTCAAGCATTCTGTGTTCTGTGCAACAGTGTCAGCACCCAGCACTTGCAACTCAGATTCTGCTCTCAACACAAAAAGCTGCAAGAGAGAGAGAAAGAGAGAGAGAGGGAGAGAGGGAGATCAGTTTGGCACCTGAAAAGAAAGTGAAATATATTGCAGAGGATAAAGAGTAACATTATAAATAAACAATTTAGCTCAAACCTGATAATGTCATGAGATAATTACCACACAAAAAATCCCCAAGTTTCAATTGTTTCAAAAATTGATGTTCCAGACTTCAAGTCTAACAACACCAAAAATGGCAATGAGGGGGGAAGAGTGCAAATCCTAAAACTTTGAACCACAACTTCGACTCAATCAGGCCCATGGCTTTGAATACTATTTTTTGGTTCTCCTACATGTTTTCTGAAGTAAAACTTTCGTTTTTGATATGTTGGCAGCCACCGCATGATGCGCACACCAGCATTCAAATGACATTTAGCTACCAATTTAGAACAATGTGCACTTGTATGTTATACTTTGACGCTCATGCCTGATCGGTGAACTATTTGAAAGTTGGGCATTTTTTTGTAATTAACCCTGAATTAAAGTCATTTCACCCATTTATTAATTTCTATCATCTTAACACTTAGAAGGAAACTAAATATACGCAAAATACAGTAATTTGGGAACTTGAATTTAGATTTCGAAACCGGATTTTATCCAAATTACTTGTTTGGGAATTCAAATAATTTGGATTTGGACCAAATTCTTCTAATTCAAAACAAATTCAATTACAAATTCACACCTCCCCCATGTCGTTTACAAATCCAAGTCTAGCTTTTCTTTAATTTACAACTTACAATCATAAAGTCATTTTCCCTTATGCAACAATTCCATAAATATCAAACCACTTCTGCTTCCGTCTTTGTCAACTTCAAAATTCAAATTCTAAAATTGAAATTCTATGGTAAGATTTCAAGTGAATTCTAGTTCTCAAACATCACCTAAAGGAAAACATAAGATTATAAAAGCATAATGTTCCTTAGGATTGGTTTCCCCTTTCCCACACATTTTCCAGGAGGCCAACATATCCTAAGAGATGCATGAAAGCAGAAATTAACAAGTTTCAGATTATCTTGCTACTAACCTGAAGCAACTCCAGTCCACCATCTTCAGTGTCACTGAAAAGTCGCAAGTCTTTGTTCCAGTTTTCACGCAGAAATGATCCATCAGCATCACTCTCACATAAACCATCCTCCCAGTCCTGAAATTTAAATATTTTAGATCTGATTCATATATTGTGTGTGGGCATTCTGCATTGGGGTGGGAGTTTAGCATTCAGTTTGGTTTTTTGATGTAGGGTTCAGTTTAAAATGGGCTAGGGAATGGATTGCCAAAATGCCAAATCAAAACACAACTTGATCTGGTTCACTTCAGGCCTGATTTGCATTTGAGTGTTTTCATCTTCTTCAAGATTTTATTCATCTTATTGTATTTTTATTGGGTTGGTTCAGATTAAAACAGTTCCTGGAAAACACTACCTAAGTAAAACCAATTACACCTAGTTATGTTTTGGATGGGTTAATTCGGTTCAGTTTGGTCAAACCGAACCGAAATGCCCCCCTCTATGTGTGGATTATTGCTCAAGTGACAAAGGCCAACATACCTGTAGTTGTTCACGAATTGCAGGTACAAACCTATGTAAGCTATTAACCATTGATTTGGATGATCCATAAGGCTTTGAATGAAAAACAATGTCCACATTTTTCATGAGGTCCAAGAGCTCAACAGAGGATGTTAATATGTTTATAACCTGCACAAATACACATAAAACTCTTAATGACTACTTCAAAGAATAAATATATAATACTAAGAATTAACATGCAAAAAGGTTCTACCATCACAGGCTAGGTATACTATGAGCATGGAATCTAACTTCAGAGTATCAGTCTAAGACATGGCATCCAAATTGTAAATTGGCATCTGTTTTCATTAGGAGAAGTACCAAAAAAGTCTCAAGACTGATGATGCATGCAGTAGAGTATTGGCATATCCATTGCTCAAGACTCAGCACAAAAATGACAAGCAAATCTACTTTCATTAAAGATACTGTGTTGAGCTCTAATCCAAACGGATATTAAGGTGTGCAGGTAAGCACCTAAGCCCCCACTAGCACAAAGAAAGATCCTATTGAATATTATTTAAATAAAGCCCATAACACTAAAATCACTAAAACTAAAGAGTGGTATCATACAGTGAAAACTAGTAAGTAATACAAATAACAAATTGAATAACCTTAGAAACCATTTGAAGAATTAACTGTGGATCTGTGTGAAGAAACTTGTGTGCAAAGCCAATAAAATGCATGGCTAGGGAGCTATAGAACAGGTAGTTAGCCAGAACGAAACCCTTCCACACAGACGAATATCTATGTGATAAAGATTGGGTTCCATCCCTTCGCACAGTTTTACTGGTCATGCCCAAACATGACTCCACCTCAGCAAACTCTTCCAAACTATTTGCCCAAGGTTCAAGGTAATTAACCCAAAGTGTAAACACTTGAGATGCATTTTTTATAGAGCATTCCACTGGGCAAAACAAAAATGTCCTCAATATAAATCTGTATAGTGGCCTCTGAATTAATGTGTCCCAAGAACTGACAGTTTGGACCCTCAAAGAAGCATCCCTTGATTTAGGGGTACCAACTGAGCCAGGTAGCCTCTGCCTTGGACTCTCAACACAATCTGCCTGATCAGTCCCATCAGTGAGTGGAAGTGAGTTCAGGTTTAGATACTTGGCAAACACATTCCCCACCTCACCTAAACCAGAAGTTGGAGGAACCTCACCCAAAAATGACCGAAAAGGTAGTGTCACTCCAAAAGATTTGCACATATTCACAGGAAGCGGTGAGAAATCATTGTCCACAAACCAAAAATGTATTATTGTATTCACCAAAAACTCTGCCTGCTCAACCATACACACATCATATGCCGAGGAGTAATGGAGAAGTGAACTACGATATGGTTGGTGGGTGTTCAGATCATGCATGGGCACATATACCCGAAGATATGCATATAATAGACGCATATAGAGATTTCCTTCATTTTTCTTCTCTGCTGCCCGCTTCGTGCTTGACAAGCCTGGAATCGAATGAGTCCAATTCTCCAGCCTAAATTTTGTGCTCCTCCTAACTCTAACAGTCTGTGGCCCCTCACTATTACCCCTGCAAACCGGGTAATACGCAAACCAGAACATGAAATACTCAAATATATTCAACTGAACCTGAAAAGAACCCTTGGTTGAGTCCTCCTTTAGCCTATTCCTGAACAATGGACACAAGTCAGCCAAAACCCTAGCATCTCTCTCATTCTGGAGGAGATACCGAGCCCATTCCGGCAATCGCTCAACAGGAAACACATATTTAACCAGAGATAAAGCATCGGCACTCAAAATAGACGATAGCAAAACACCTTTTGGAGATAGTAAACTGAAAATTTTGCCTGCGACACAGTAAACTAAAGGAGATAAGCATAAAAAAAGATGCATTCATAAATTAATTAATCAGAACACATGTGTACTTGCATTGCAGTTAGTGTATGGTGTGGAATTCAAAATTTATGCACAAACACACACACAAACAGAATTATAAGCTAAAAAAATTGAGTGATTAACTGATTAAGATGAAAACAGTTCATTCAGCTACGCCTGAAATGAAAGCAAAAATCAAAGTACATAAAAATGTTCAGGAATCAGGACAGGTACCTGCAAGCTCTTTATCGTTAGATAGAGAGGCAACATCGGTCCATCCGGAGGGGGAAAGAGACTTCTGACCAGCGGGCGGCGCGTCGTCGAAACCGAAGACTTTGCAAATTAGGGTTGGGAAAGTGATAGAGAAGAACCAGCGAGTCTGGTCCGCGGTGTACGCGTGGAGGAACGACTCCACCTCGGCACAGGCGGCGGCGATCTGCGACGGCGACGCCGCAGCGACGATGATGGCCGCCAAGTCGGCGGCCTTCGTCTGCGCGTCCGAAGGATACGAGCGCGAATACATCTCGAAATGGAAAAGGGGGTTTTTCAGGTGAGATTTTTGAATGGGAGAGAAGATGGACTCAAAATGGCGCCTTCATAAAAATACTGAGTAGTGAGTAGAGTCCGTATTTGGGAGACGGTGAAAAAAAATACAGAAAAATGAAGGAACATCTGCTGGAAGCAGAAAGAGCAGTTAAGTAGTCACGTGTCAGCCGAGCACAAAATGAACAAACAAAACTATTTTTAATAAAAATACTAAAAAATAAAAATGAGCCCCAAGTCCCTTTAATAGGTAGTATAGTCACTTCAAAAGAGATAAATTGATCTATAATTACAGATTGATTGGTTAAAGATACAGTCTCAACCTATTACTTGCAGAGTCTATATACTTAGTATAATTACTGCTATCATAATTTTTAAGAATTGAACTCGGATTTATCTCTTCTCGCACTCATTGCTCAACCATCAAACTTGATGGGATAGTAAATTATTCATACTCCGTAACATCTCTCTCTTCTTCATCTTTGGCTTCTTCTTTTTCCTCTTCATATTGTTCTTCTTCTTCCTCCTCTTCTGAGACATGATGATGATGATGATAACAGACCATTGAATTTGACGGAGAGAGTGACAGATTGTCACCTCGGATAATTTTTTTTAATGTTTTAAGATACCTAGTAGTATGTTTTGAAAAATAATAAGACTGCTAGTTCTTATCACAAAAGTAGTGAGGTGTCCAATAGCAATTTTTGTGTATTCAAATTCATAACCAGGCCTAATTATCACTCAATGATGCAACAGTGCAAATATTTTCAACACTTAGGTTGCGTTTCGTTCGTCTAATCTGATTTTCTAAAGATTGATATGATCTGACTGTAGTTATAATTAAAGTTATTTCCGATCTGATAAAACAAAAATGAGCAAAATAATTAAAGTTGTTTCTAATTTGATAAAACAACATTTTCAACTTTTGTTTGTATACATATTTTTATTGATCATTTGATAAAATAAAATATTTTATCACGTCTTGTTTTGTAGAATTTTTGATGTTATTTTGAATAGTGTAACAATTTTTGATTAAATAATTTTATAATTGATACACCCTTCGTCCCTTTAAATATGGGATGTTTTGATTTTGGAAAGATTTAAAGGGAGTATATTTTGGTATTAAATTTTCAAAAATGTCTTTTGATGTGATGGGTAAAAGTATAATTTGATGGGTAGATTATTAGTAAAAAAGTATGATATGATAGGTATGATTTGAAAAAATAAGGGGTAAAAGTAACTTTTAATAGAAATAAAAAGTGTCTTTTGGGACGGATGAAAAAAGAAAGGAGAAAGATTTTCAAGGACAGATGAAGTATAATTTTACATGTTATTAGAAAAATTACAACCCGTGTGAGACGAAGAAATAAAAATTACCTAGTATCTTTAAAATATAGAAAAAGAGCCCAAAGAAGTTGGACTAATATTTCAATTTCTCCATTTCAGTTTATAGGGCTTGTTTGATTCTTACGAGTAGGCCTATTTTAAATCTTTGCTGGCGTTGGTACAAATATTTTCCGGCCCAAATAATGCGGAGTATTTAAGTTCCTACAATAATCCGTATATTTATATATCGTCTCCTTTCGTTATATTATTTTTGGGACGTGATAAAGTAACACAAAAAATTAAAAAAATTAAAGAAATAAATAAAAAATAAAATAAAGATAATGGGGTCAAAGTATACTTTGAAAATTACTTCCACGAGAAGGAAAAGGAAAAAAGACAAATATATTTAATTTTATATCTTTTTTTATAATGACAGCCCCAAAATCCTTAATTGATCCTAACTTGATATTGAAGCCATCGATCGTTGACCATAAGTCCACGATTGTTGATGTTTTCTCGTTTAATTTAGTCACTTTAATTTTCACATTGTACGGAATACTTATTTTTTTGAAGCGAAGTGACAAGTGACTCACTCACTATTATTCCTTTATCTTTTAAGTTCATTATTTATTTCTTTTACATATGATATGTTTGAACGTTGGAGACATAGCTAGGATTTCCATACCCCCTCTCCCCAATATGGCTTTTAAAATGAATTTTTGCGTCCACCTTTCAAAATTGTTGCATCAATGGTTTTTCAATTAAAACTATTGGCTTGGAGTCATGTCACATCTTGTTTTGTAAAACTTTTGATATAACTTCCAAAATTTATAAATTTTATTTTTAATTGTATTTGGCCAGTTTTTATACAAATTCATTTAATTCTACGCGATCAAATCCAGTACAGAGGATTATTGATACAACATTTTTAAAAGTTCAGGGAGCATTGATACAACTTTTAAAGTTCAAAAGGAATCTGTATAATTTTTGAAGAGTTCATAGGTAAAAGGCGCAAAAAGTTCAAAAGGAAACTTTACAACTTTTAATATACTCCATATATTTTATACTTGAAAATCTATTGCTATTTTTAATTAAAAATCAAGAAATATATACTAATTATAATCTAATACGCTACATTTTTTATTTTCCAAACATTTTATTGAACTAAGTAAAAAGTTTAAAATGTCAATTGTATATAAGAATACATTATCTAGTCGTTAATATTTTTTAAAATATGAGTATCACCTTATTAGTTAAGTATTTATTAGATATTCATTATTAATTTTTAATAATAATAAAAATAAAAGAATAAAATAAAGAATGTGTGATACACTGTATGCACAATGATATTAAAAACTAGATGGAAAGATAAAACAATTTATTAAAATATTTTATTGACTAAAATCAGCAGAGGCGGACCCACCTTGAGTCCTATGGGGTCCCGGGACCCCACGGACCCCGGTGTAGGTCCATATAGGTAATAGGTTTGTAAATATAATTAATATATAAACTATGCGTAGCGGCATGTTAACAGAGTGGTGCTTGGTTCAGTGGGAGCGCGCGTCTCATCCCAATAACTCTTGAAGCTCGAGTTCGACTCCCATTTCTGGTTTTTTTATTATATAGTCAGTTTTTCCTTATTTTTAAAAAAGAGCATGGAGTTTATACTTTATAGTCTGTTTTTTCTTTTTTTTTAAAAAAAACTAAAACGCGTAACCCCTATTTTCTTTGCAAATTTGACCTCTCTTCCCCAATTCTCTATTTTAAATTTTACTTTTGAATCCCACCTTCGTCTTTTAGAGTCGGTTTTTTCTTTAAAAAAACGAGCATGGAGTAAAACGACGTCGTTTTGCGCGTAAAATTTAGTAACCCCTATTTTCTCTACAAATTTGACCCCTCTTCCCCAATTCTCTATTTCGAATCTTTAATTTTGAACGCCAACCTTCATCTTTTAGAGGCAGTTTTTTTTTTTAAAGAGCATGGAGTAAAACGACGTCGTTTTGTGCGTAAAATTAAAACGCACAACCCCTATTTTTTCTACAAATTTGACCTCTCTTCCCCAATTCTCTATTTCAAATTTTTAATTTAGAAACTTAATCTTCGTCGATTCTCCATCTCTTTCCTGTCGCCTACCGGCCTTTGTTCGCCGTGCTGCCGAAGTTCGACCATTGTACTAAAATTAATTTTTATGGTAGTTTGAAATTTGATATATGATTAGTAATATATAAATATATAATAATTTATATATTTATTTTTTATTCATTACTTATTCTTAAAAGAATCAAAGATTTTTCTTCAATAAAAAATTGATTTAGGATTGCAAGTGATAAGTATTATTGTATTAGT